AGAAGAGAAATCAGAGCAGAGAACATTGCAATTCAGAACTTAGAGGTAAGAGTGGGTTTTCCCAAGGAAACGCCAATCCCAGAGACAATGATTGCAAAGAGCAGGGGTAGGCTGAGAGGTAATCATTATGGTAACTCTTGATGAGTTGCAGTGGAAATAGCTGGGACAGGTGGGCTCTTTTCTCTCTCTCTCTCTCCCTTCCCCCAGGAACCCTTTGTCAGCAGCAGCATTTGGCCTTTGCCCTCAGGCTGAAGTGCCTGAGGAGGGCTCTAGGGAGGATGTTAAGACCTCTGCAAAAGACAGGAAAAAGAAAACAAAAGGAAAACCAGCATCAGTCAAGAGTGAAACCCTCTAAAGGGCTTCACCCCCAGAGAAAAGCCCTCCTTGCTTTATCAGTTGTGGGGGTCCCTGGCCTTCCTGCCTCTCCACCCACATAACCTAAAGGGAAGCCCGCCTGTTGACAGACTCTACCCACTGAAAGAGAACCCGCAGTCAGCCCTCCCATTCCGGAGAAAGCTTTGCGGGGGGAAACAGATCAGTACAATTGCAGAGGAAACCCATGCTATCTACCCATAAAAATAAACTTGGTTTTTCATACATAAATATGACCAGACAACAAAGGGTCATCAGACATTTGAGGAAAACCATCAACATGAAAGAGAAGGACCAAAATAAACAAAGGGAACTGATGCCAGAGGAGAGAAAGATAACTAGAAGACCGGAAGAAAACTTAAATATATTCTGATTTGTATCACAGAGGTTTGCTAGGGCTACTCCATCAGATTAGAATGTTGTACAGCTCCCCTTTTGATCTCCTTAAGAGAAAATTCAGTAAATTGGCAGAGATTTTACTAATTCCTTCCCATGTGTCAGGAAGCAAAGATTTTGCGATTTTTTTTTAATTGTCTCTTTCCACTAGGAGCTAATGGTAGGGAAATCGAACAAGTCAATTATGAGGTAATGTGGCAAATGCTTGTCTGCTGGGAGGGGATGTCTCTTCATCAACCATAATGGATAAAGGTTGGGGGGTGGGGCACGTGCACAGGGAACAGCTTGACCAAGCACAGTACATTTAGGGGAATAAGCCTAGCTTGATATGGCTGATGCTCAGGGTTGAGCAGGACCAAGTTATGAGAGATGAAGACAGAAAGGTGGACAGGGAACAGATCACATTCTGTGCTAAGAATTGAGGTGCTGTGCTCTAGGCTATGGTTTCCCAGACACGTTCAGGGAAGAGTCTGCGCTAGGCCATTTGTAGAACAAACAAAATGGTGATATATTTAACTCTTTCGTATGTACTGGAAATAATTTTCCTAGCAGAAACTATGACTGTGTTCTAGGTTATCAATATAAAATCACAACCACAAGCATAGTCACACCAAAAACAAACCGTTGAAGTTTGATCCATTGTTTTTTGAACTTTTCCCTTGATACTTATTTGCTGCAATTCAATCACTAGCTCGCAGGAAAGCGGTAGTAAAAAAAAGGTGGGGGGGACAGAGATTTCAGAAAATTTTGCATAAGAAAAACTGAAAACTGAAACAATTCAATCCATTAACTTCCTTCTTTCTGTTAATGAAGAGAAAGATGGTCAACATTTGACTTTGGATGCAGACATTTTTGTGCACTCCATAGATCTACAGATTTCTCGGCAACTAAAGTCAAGAATCACTTCCAGATGCCTTAAGCAGCTGAAGATTTTCAAAGGGAGCCCAACACCAGGGGCAAGGCCACTCCTTCTTGGAGGAGAGACAGGTATGGGTCATCCTGACCCAAAGCTTGTTTGTTTGAGAATCAGAAATCAGAAAATAGAGCCCAAGTTTGAAGCTGGAAAGGTAGCCAATTGTTGTAGAAGACCAGGCAGAAGAAGGACGGGAAGAAAGACAAGGTTTCAAAGACAGAAGTTCAAGCTGACTATTCTGGAGCTAATCCCAATCCTGTTGAACATGCCAGGGCACTCTGTTGTTCTGTTTCCCTGCGTCTGGAGCAGAGTCTTAGGGGATCAAGTCAGATTAGATAATAAGGTCACTTACAAGATTTACCATAAGAATTATATGTTATAATAATTCTTAATTATATGAGTTAACATTCTTCTGGTGGTATGAAGGTTGGATGGGGTAGGGCAGGAAGGGAATTAAAGAGAGAAATTAGGAGAATACAAGTCAGTAATCTAGCAGAGAGGGGATGTGGGCCTGGACTCCGATGTTGGCACGAAAAAAGTGGTGGCGTCAAGAAGCTTTGGGGAAGAAGAACCCATTGGGATTGGGGAGGAATCTGGGCAAGAGAGAGGGAGGAATCATGGACGGCTCCCAGGTCTCGGACCTGGGCGATTAGTTAGGTATAGGAGCATCGTACTCCGAGATAGGAAGAAGCTTGAGGGAGAACATGTCTGGGATGGAAGCTGAATTAAGTGTAGGGCAAGCAAATGTGAGGTGGCTTTGGGCTATTAAAGTGGAGATGTTCAGAGGTGGCTATACTTACAAGTCTGAAGTTCAAGGTCGTAGTTACAGGTCTGGGATTTATCACAACGAAGGTGATAGTGAAAACCATGAGAGTGATGGGACTCTCCTAAGGAAAACATGTAGAGTCTACGGCCATACCACCCTGAACGCGCCCGATCTCGTCTGATCTCGGAAGCTAAGCAGGGTCGGGCCTGGTTAGTACTTGGATGGGAGGAAAACATGTAGAATGAGGAGTGGAGGGGGCGCCTGGGTGGCTCAGTGGGTTATAAGCCTCTACCTTCAGCTCAGGTCATGATCCCAGAGTTCTGGGATCAAGCCCTGCATCGGGCTCTCTGCTCTGCAGGGAGCCTGCTTCCTCCTCTCTCTCTCTGCCTGCCTCTCTGCCTACTTGTGATCTCTGTCTGTCAAATAAATAAATAAAATATTTTTAAAAAAAGAATGAGGAGTGGAGAGGGGGTGGGGGAGGGGAAGTGAGTCTGAGGAGCAGGAACATCAAAGTTTTTTTTTTTAAAAGATTTATTTATTTATTTGATGGAGAGAGAGATCACAAATAGGCAGAGAGGCAGGCAGAGAGAGAGGAGGAAGCAGACTCCCTGCTGAGCAGAGAGCCCGATGCAGGGCTCGATTCCAGGACCCCGAGATCATGACCTGAGCCGAAGGCAGAGGCTTAACCCACTGAGCCACCCAGGCGCCTTAGGAATACCAAAGTTTTAAGAGGAACAAAGGAAAAGAGGAATCACACAAAGAAGTATTCTGAGAGGCAAGGGGAGAAAACTTTCAGAAGGGGGACAACAGAATCATAGGGTAACAGACGAATAGAAAGGTCACTAGAAATGAACCCTAAAAAGTATTCAGCCCAATCTATTGAGATAATCATGGTGGAAACCATTTTGGGGGAATGTGGAGGGCGGAAGTTAGCCTGCAGGAGGCTGGGAGGCAGGGAGAATGGATGAGAACTCTTTCTGGAAGGTGGTCACGTGAACAAGTACTGACGTTGTCTGCCTCTCTGTGGTGCTCCCTTCAGCGTCCTCTGTAATTGTATGAAACAGGCTTTAGGGAAGTCCTCCAGCCCATTTTAGCTCTCGTGATCATTTTCTTTCAGTGGAACTCAGGTTACTTGTCTAAGAACTGAAGCTTCTGACCTGACTGATGAAAGTTTATCACGTGCATTGAAGCCACCTACTTGGCAGATGTAGTGAAAAGCTCCCCAGCTCTGGGCCCAGGACAGGATGCAGGCGCGTGGGAGGGGAAGAGAGCAGGTGCTAACAATACAGAGAGCGTGCCTACCAGAGCATTTTGTTACATTTCCTATTTGTCTCTCAAAACAATTTTATAGGAATCACCAAAGTGATCTTATCATGGTTTCTAAACCAGGTTGGACTGTGGGGTAGGGATTTCCACGGCTGCTTTTGTTTCAAAGGTGATCTGATAAGAGGACACAAAAGCCATTGAGAAATGCATAATCCTACATGCCTCAATGATTCAGTTCATTGCCAAAACTTGGGGTGTTTTTGATGTTGCTGTTGTTCTTTTGTTTTTTTACGAGTATGTCAGGAGGTGGCCATTATTTGGAAAACTCATTATCTTTGGCTGTTTAGATCCCCCCCAATTCAGGATAAGTCGTTGGTCTATTGCTTAACATGTGTCAAAGATCTTCCATGCACATTTTTATTTGGTCTTGGCCACAGCCTCTGGGATAGGCAAGGCGGGTGCTACTACCCCCTTCGGATATGGGGAAACAGAGACTTGGAGAGGTAAAGTGATTTGCTGGAGGTCCATAGACATTTGTTAGTAGAGCAAGGACTAGAGCCTGTTTTCTCTATTCCGAGCCATTCCATCAGCATCAGCAATTATCTGACAGATGGGAACAGTATAGACAAGCAATTTGGCCAAGTCAATTGAAGATTCCGACTTTAACCTTGATCCCGGAGTTTAGGAACCATTTCCTTCAAGACCCTACTCCTCCTGGCCCTTGAGGAATTTATTTTTTCTTGAATTACCAGTCCAGCTAAATTAAAAAAAAAATAACTGTCAGCACTCCTTTTTGCTTCATGCCACGTAGACTTGAAAAGCTGCTGGGATTTCATTGGGTTTGAAGATGAAAGAAGTCTCAAGAAGCAATAAGCCAGGGGTATACCAGTCATAAAATCAATCCAAACTTTTGTTGACATTCACTTCTTTCCCCATATGCCAGGTTCCCAGTTTGTATTAGTAAGACTGAAATTGAAATAAGTCTGTTGCTGGTGGACACATTTGTCACTTTCCTTGAAACTGGTGAACCCAGAAAGCTAGCGATAGGAAAATACTGCCATTGTCTGTTAAGAAGTCTATGACATTTCAAGGCAAGAATGAATGTATGGAAGAAGAGACTTGTTTCTTCTTTACTAACAAAAGGGAAAGCCTGGAAGTGAATGATATGGGTATAATTAAAAAAAAAAAAAAAAACCTTTACGTAACTTTTTTGCTGGGAGAGAAGACTACGAAGCACATTTTCCAGGAAGTGTGGGCTGTAACGATTGTACGCTCTTAACTAATCCTGAGTAAGGTGGCCACTTTGACAGTGTTCTCATGCTGCCCCTGCCACCTTCTCGGTCTGAAGATATCATTTCAACTCTAACACAGCATGATCGAAACATATAGCCAAACTGCTCCCCGATCTGTGGCCACCGGACCACCCGTCAGTATGAAAATTTTTATGTATTTACTTACTGGTTTTCTCATCACCCAGATGATTGGGTCAGCACTTTTTGCTGTGTATCTTCACAGAAGATTGGACAAGGTAAGCTGAACCAGGCGCCCTGGTTAACTCAAGCGGGGGGTCCTTACTGATTTGTGGGTTGAATGGTTTTAGGTCTGCCCAGATGATGGACCATGGTGGGAACCCACATAGCTGAAATGGTCTCGCGGCATTATGTTTGTCATCTAGTTCGTAAGGTCTTCTCTTCTTGTCTCTGGTCGAGAGCTTGGGTTCTGGAATCAGACTGGGTGGGTTCAAATCTTGACTCTGCCCCCTCTTAGCTCTGCAATCCTGGGCAAGTTATTTTATCTTTCCATGCCTCAGTTTCCACATCTTAGAAACGGGGAAGATAATAGTACCCACCTCGTAGATTAAATGAATTTAGCCTCGTAGCCAGCTTAGACCAGAACCAGTGAAGAGGGAGCACTAGGTGGGCATTAGCTATAATTATTTGCTAAAGTCTTGCTTAAAAAGTAAACTTGTTTTTCTGATGGAGATGCCTTTTTTTTCCCTTTAAATTGCTAACTAGAGAAGGAGAGTAGGAATTTGATCTGAAACTTCCTAGTGTTTCAGATTAGCACAGACACGGATAAGTCTGGAATTTACAGTCTTAGAGTACAAGTCGCATGGTCTCTATACCTCTTCAAGCACTGACTGTTGCAAGCTGCTCCATTTCCCTCTGAGATGTTTTACACGCTTAAGTGGCTGGACTTACAGGAACAAAACAGTAGAATAACTTAGGAGGTAGCTGGGTGTTGTCAGGAGAAAATAACTGTTGGGATTCGTCCCATTTCAGTGTGTTTACCCACTTCCACTGAGCGGCATTATTGGCTGTACCAACAGAACATCATTCATACATGAAAAGGAGAAATTTGACGAATTATCTGGCTGTTGCTATACATCTGGGTGAAGGGGTTGTCGATGCACAGCATCTGGAGATTGCACTTTCCCAGGGATGTTTCGATGCCGTCTGTTGGGATCCCATGCTAGAATTAACACCATTATTTTCATCAGGATAAGGAGGGGCAGTGAAGGTTGAGGCAATGCACTGGGTTACTCAGATTTGTAGTTGAGTAAAGAGCAGGATTCGGGGTCTGGTTGTTGGCTTGTGTTTGGCCTGGTGGGCTCTGTCAATCGAATGCCTGGACCCAAGCCTCTATGGGGAGAAGCAGCGACCACGTCTTCCAAAGCCTTGAGGTGTGTTCTTAGGGACAGTGGAAGCCGCTGGCTAAGTAGCTTTTGTTTTGAATCTAAAAATTTCATTTTAAAACAAGAAAATGGCCCCAAATCAGTTTATTACACAAGTGAATTCCATACGTTTAACTCGTTAACTTTGGGAATGAAAGATGGTTTCCTTAAAAATGCAAATGTTTTCCACAAATACTAAAGCTAAAAAGAGAGAGATGTAATTAGAACTCAAGTTAATTGACACACACTGCAAATTAACTGCTTTTTATAAAACACTGCAGCAGCAGCTAAAGTGAAGTAGGCAAATGAGCTCAGTGGAAAACGAGTTTATACACTGGGTTCACAATGACTGATCCTTACAGAGCAATGAGGAGTACGATCATTCTCGAACATTGCTGCTGTAATACATGGACGAAATGTACATTTCGTAATAAAATTTTGTTAGAATAGCTGTGATTTCTAGCTAGAGTTTCGGGTAATAGGACATTTTAATTGCTGGCTTTTGTTGATTTTTTTTTTAAAGATTTTGTTTATTTATTTGACAGAGAGAGATCACAGTAGACAGAGGCAGGCAGAGAGAGAGAGAGGGAAGCAGGCTCCCTGCTGAGCAGAGAGCCCGATGCGGGGCTCGATCCCAGGACCCTGGGATCATGACCTGAGCCGAAGGCAGAGGCTTAACCCACTGAGCCACCCAGACGCCCCTTTTGTTGATTTTTTTAACGGCTGATACCAAATAACAATAATCCAGTAAAATAACTTTTATTCCCCATTTATATCTGCAAAATCCTCCTTCTGTTATTGATGCCATGGAAGTGATTGTGGAGGGAGACATTATCAGCCACCTTCTCCAGAATTATGTTCTCACATCCCTGTTATTTCACAAATAGATAGAAGATGAAAGGAATCTTTATGAAGATTTTGTATTCATGAAAACGTTACAGAAATGCAACAAAGGAGAGGGGTCCTTGTCCTTACTGAACTGTGAGGAAATTAAAAGCCGATTTGAAGCCTTTCTCAAGGTAAGGAGCTCAGTTGTTGATTAAAGGGTCGTTGAAACTGTTTATTGCTTTTGCTAGGTCGGGAAATAAACGCTGACAACATAGACGTTTTGTAGACATACGTACATATGTGCGTACATACACACATGGGTATATGTATCCAATAAAAAAAAAAGGAAAAATGAAGCCAAAATCCTGCGTGAAAGGGAAAGAAAAACTGGAAGTGTGCACATTCATAAGAATGTTTTCGAGAGGAACAAAAGGAGTCTCTCTTGGGGATACTACCCTCTGAACATTTATGAAGCACACCGAGTTTGGCTCTTGGTATTTTCTTACCTTTCCATCCAAACCTTGCTGCCTTGTCACTACGGACCCATGGTCGGTCCCCATTTCCCAGGGGAGCAAGGATCACTGGATGGCCCCAGGGTCGGGACCTGCCTTTACTGAGGGCAGTAAGGATTCCTGAAGGCTGGGGAACGAACACTTCTCTCATGACAGAATTTCAAGTGCCATGAAAGTGAAATCGTTCCCTTTACTTGTGAGGAGAGCTATGGGGAAAGGGGGATGGACTTTCTTGGTGCCGCTCAAATCAGACCCCACGGAACACCACTTGCTCATGAAGTCAGTCCACTGTAGGACTGGCCAAGCCCTGAGGCAGACAGAGGCCCCAGTAAGGAGTCCCTGTAGTCGCCAGGGCCGGTAATAGGTACAGCAAACAAGCCTTAGAGGATTAACTGAGGATGCACTTACGACATGAATTCCATCATCATGTACAAGGAGTCTAGAATGTTCTTTCTCCTGAAGCAGAATATCAAACAGCCTTTCTGCTTGTTACCCCTCTCAGAACACTGAGTAGAATCCCCCGGGCCCTCAGCTCACTTTGGGGTCATCAGTAAGAGGCAGCTCTCCACATTGAAGGCAGCTCGGTGCCAAGCTACGGGGGGTCGGGGGGTAATCTGGATAAACCAACAGCAGTTATTTCTCCCATATAAATAATCTATCATTTAACCCAGGAGTAAAGGACTTAAGATCTTATTTCTGAGTTTATTCTTGTCCTCCAACGGTAAAGACGCTAATAACCTCTTCCTGGGTCCCCTAATGGAAATCAGAAGGCAGCCCAAATCTGCTGTTGGCTTTCACATTCTTTACACTAATCTAGGTTTTAGATGAAGACTCCTCTTCATTGGCCAACTCATTGGAAATGAGTTAAGCTTTTCTGGTTGTCCGAGGACTCTGGCCAATACCATAGGGTACTTGGGGGGGTTACAAATTTAAATGTGAAGAAAGCCACTTTAAGAACAACAGTTAATAATTCAAATATTTATTAGATATTTAATGTGCTTAGCCTTGTGACCTTGGGCAAATGGCTTCCCCTCTCCGGGCCTGTTTACTCATCTATAAATGAGAGAACTCTGTCTTACTGACAGTCTTATCGTTCAATGGCCAATTTCTAATAGTTCTATTTCAGGTCAGATATATAAAACTTCCCAAATCAGCTACCCAGGATAGGAGCAAGGGCTCCTTGGGCTTGCCTCTCTGCTCTATGCTTGCATGAGCAAAGTGACAGCTCCCAAGTTTCATATTCTAGAAAGGCAGACCTTCTCAGACATGTCAACCAGGGTTCCTGACTTAAGGCAGAGGAAGTCCCTCACCTCTACTGCTCCCCAGGGCGGGATCCTAATGAGTGCCATGTGTCGCAGAGTCCTCCCGTGAAGACTGACTGACCCCCTTTCCAATATCCGTTCTCCCAAATTTCTCATTCTAAACCATATTTTGGGCTTTTTAAAAAAATCCAACTGGTCACCTGTAGAATAACCCCAAAGTGGATTTTAGTATTCTCAGCGAGTGTTAGCAGGCTTTCTTTCTGGGCTTCACTGTCTGACTGGGCCAGAACAACCAAAAGGTTTGAATTTGGGGGTTCCAAATCATAGGTCTTGAAGGGGTCTTAGAAGTCACCAGATCCAATGATCAACCCAGGGCCTCAGTCTTCTCTCCATGGTCCCTAGCAAGTGGTCATCAAGGTCTGTTTGCACAGCTCTAGTGACGCCATCCCACTAGACTAGTCAGTTTCAGGCTTGTCTGCCCCCTCGAGGACTGAGATGTCTTTGACAGGGGTCGACACATTTCCTTTTCAAGGTAGAGGCCAACCCGTCCATACCTGCCACGTAGACTCCCCAGTAAGAAAGAAATCACTTATCTGAGATTTTCTGAATGTCAACTTTGAAAAGTCTTTCAGTCAAGGTGGGGAGTGAAGGAAGGGAGGCAAAAAAGGGCTCTGGGGAGTGTGGCTGAGGGAAAGTTCGCAGGAAGACAGGGCTGGGCACATAAAAGACAAACTTTGCTGACTTCACGTTTTCATTTTGGCCAAACCCTGACACCAGCACAACCACGTAGCTGAAAAGTATCTCAACCTCGATCATCACACTCCATTTTTGAGGAGACACTAAATACTCATTTGTTTACTGGGTGTCTCACAAACATCTTCCTGTCGCCGCACTTTCTCAGCTCAAGTGGAAACTTGAAGCCCTGTGGCCCCTGGGAGCATTTCGAGGCTCCCTGGTGGGGCTCCGAGACTTACACCCTCACATCTGGCAACGAAGCTGAGCCTCCCCCCGGGTGCTCAACAGTCCCAACACTAATTCCTTCTGGGGAAGGACAGAAAGGGAGGGCGCTGTAGAAAACTTGGAGTCCAGGAATGGGAAGGCGCGTAAGACTTTGATTATCAGAGGGGAAAATACTACTGTGCTTGGCCCTTGTATTTAGAGTCCAAAGTGATGGCGTAAGCTAGGTCGACCTCTGAACGTGATCTCAGAGTTCCTGCTCTTGGCTTCAGCCTCAGACTCCTTGCGTGACCGTGCGTGATCTTCAAAATGGCAGCCGAATCCCTGATTCCCTTCCTGCTTGTGCCGATGGCCGTGCCTGTGAACTTCCCCGGTTGCTAAGTGAAAAGAAACCACTTAGGAAGTGTCGCATTTGCCTTTGAACGCCAGCATCATCGGGAGATCACCTGAGTTTCCTATATGCTGAGAATCTCCCTCATCCCGTGGACAGGGATAAGACAATAAAAAATGCCTGAGGGTCTGTTCGTAGTCTGGAATTTCTTCCCAAGATCAAACGTACTATTACTCTTTCCTAAGAGATTTCAGACCAATTTTATTCTAATAGATACATCCCCTGCTTTATGTTTAAAAATAGTCCATGTACCGGTTCCCAAGGTAGAAACATCTCCCCATTCAGCATTATCTGTCAATACCCATCAAAGGCAGGGAGGCTGGGGTCATAGGAAGGGTCAGCGTCACAGCCTCCAGTCTGGGGAGAGCCCTGCAGTGCAGATAATAGGGCCCCGATCCTGCCTCCAGGCTCCCCCCTTGGGCTTTCTGGGCTGTCAGCTCATCTGTCAGTGCCATGGGTTCCCAATCGCTATGATGGAATTAATGACAGGATCTAAGTCCATGTGATAATCCTCACCAGGAACAGGCACTAGAGTCATGCCAGACGCCAAACGAATGATACCTCCAAAACCCCACACCAGGTTTCCTGTCAAAATGACCTTTCGCACTGATTCTCATTTTAGGACATAATGCTAAACAAAGAAGCGACGCAAGAAAAAAGTGTTGCGATGCAAAAAGGTAGGTTGCTATTTATCCATTTTTGTGAGCACTTAACACCTAAAAGGAAGCTTTGGGCTGATCATGCTGAACAACCCCGTTGTTAGAATTAGGGAACTTGGAGCCCTGGAAATAAAACAGGACTACAATGGCCAGATTGACACCTTCTCTAGCACCTGTGATTTGGAAAGGCTTAGTATGGACCCATGTATGGGGAAGGCTGTGTTCCTTTGAGGCTGACAATACCAAGTATGAAGAAATGTCACTCTTTTCAATATCTTCATCAAAGCACCATATGGCCTAGTGCCCCCCACAGAGGATAAGATGACAAGAAAGTCATTGCTAGCATTCATTGCTCAGTGATAATAGTTTTTGGCGGAGAACCATGCCAGCGGAGGAGCTGCGATCAAGGAATGATTCTGTGTGACAATGTTCCATTCTTTGCCCTGTTCTTGATGTCAGAACATGTCAAACATCTCAGGGTTGGAAGGGATCTTGACTGGAAGGCAAGGTTCTCAAATGCAGTGCCACCCACAGAGCACAAATCTTCACAACCATCTGATCCAACATGCCTGGGCACCTCCTAGCTCATTAATCATCCTGGTCCAACTTTGAACAATTCTAGTAATTATAGTAAGATTACTAGGCTACTCAGAGAGAAGTCTTTCCTTCTCTGGAGTTGAAATTTATTCCTATAATCTCCACTCACTGGACCCAGTCCTGCTCTTCGGAGCCATACTAAGTAAAATAGAATTCTTCTAGATAGCAGCTGTCCAGATGTTGAAAACAGCAATCATGGCCGCTGAGCCTTTTCTTCTCCAGGTTAAACCTCCCCAGTGTCTTCCACTGTGCCTCCCATGACACTTTCTGGGGCTTTTTGTCTCCCTATTCCTCTTAGAATTCAGCACCCCAAACACAATAACGATGCCTGGAGTGGCAAATGAGTGTTATTCACAATGTCAATGAAAACGATGTATGGCTTGTGCAAACTAATACCCACAAAGAAATATATACATACAGAGATACAGAAATCATTTTCAGAGGCCAGGAGTGTACTCAGAGCTCGCTTTAACTGTTGCTCTGGATACAAGGGTCATCCAATCTCCAGGATATTTTCATCTTCAGATTGTAAGATATGCTGAATGGTGCCATGTTGTCTGTGACTTACGGTGAAATATGAGGAAATGGGTGCACGTGGGTGTTGCGTAGCCATCTTCAGGAAAAGGATCAACTCAACACAACTGGTTATCTAGGTCATGCGATTTGATTCAATATTTATAGGGAACCTGCCAAGTGTCTGACAGCAAGCTCATTCCTAGGGGGGAAAAAAAGGAAACTTCCACACAGGCTCTAAACACAGAGTATCAGCACTTCTAATTAAAGAGCAAGGCTTTTACATGAGAAACAACCCAAGCTAGGCACAGTAGTTTGGCCAGTTGCTTGACCACATCAGATGCTGTTGGCATCATACCAGTGAAGTGTGCTGACACCACCTTGGGGCCCAGTGGGACTCCCAATGGACGGGAGCTGTTTCTAACGGCAAGATTCAAAGTGTGTTTCACGAAGACCCGGAGTGTTAGCCTGTGTCAATCTAGGTAAAGTGGAGTTGGGTACTGAACGCGCATTAGAAGAATGGGGTCAGTGCAAATAGCCCATTCAGTTGTTCAGATTCTAGAAACCAGCTTTCCCCGGGGACGGGGATTTCGGACCGTTGCGCTTTTCCTGTTGCGTAACCTACTTAAGCCGGGTCTCTATGACAGAGCTGTAGAACTAGACCAGATCGTTCTGTGGGCAGTGTTGCGTTGCTTTGGCCTGACAGTTGGCTTTTGGTTTCATTCCAGGTGATCAAGATCCCCGAATTGCAGCCCATGTCATAAGTGAGGCCAGTAGTAACACAGCGTCTGGTAAGTCGAAAGCATCTGAGCTGGTCACCCAGGCAGGAAGGCTGGGATGCAGAAGCAGGGCGGCCTAATGATCAGGCTCCTCTCATCCTCTGGGGCCCAATTTACCAACCCACCCCTACACCTCTCATATGCTGGGCTTTGTCTTCAAAGTGAGCTCAGAGGCACAGATGGGACTTGAAGGGACAAAAGGAGATGGGAAGCAATCCCGATGTTCTCATTACGTTCTTGCCCAATGGCCGATTCTAAATGATGAATTGCTGGGTGGAGGGACCATTATTCTGAGAACACAGAAGAGATGGCAGGTAGTGACCTCCTGGCTGGGAGCATTCCTCATGCTAACCCCTCTTCGCTGTGTGTAAATGGGCCTCAGGGGGTACTTCCTGCCATCTGTCAATCCCTGTATGATTAACCCCAGACTCGCGGGGGCCAACCTCAGGGAAATTAAAGGTAAAATCATTCTGCAAAGATCAATAGGCACCAGGACGTTAGATTTTCCAATGAAGTAACAACAGACAACATACTGTCATCTTTTCAACTCTGAACGAGTTTATTTCCATATACGTTCTGCCATCATTCTAGCTCTTAGATCTTTTTTCCCAAACCTGTACCTTGAGAGAGTTGGTGCCCGAGAATGCGTCGCATCTGATAAATGGATGGAAACATGCCCGCAAGCACAAAACCCCCCTCGTTAGATAAATGCAGTCTGAGGGCATCAGAGCAGTCTTGGAAAAACTTAGCACAGTGCTCCAGAAAGGAGTTCTAAACAGTGTGTGTGTGTGTGTGTGTGTGTGTGTGTGTGTGTATGAGAGTGAAACACACATAAAACGAGAGAGATAGAGACAGAGACAGAGAGAAGAGGAGAGACATACCCCCTCATCTCCGAGGCAGCTTGGGCTTCTCACGAGGTGTAACACATACGTGGTTGTCACAGATGGTGATACGGAAGGAAGAGCACTGGATAGGAAGTCTTTGAACTGAGATTCTGGAACCATGAATTACCACTTGCTAGGTGACCGTGGGCAAGTCCCTTTGCTGCCATGTCACACTTGACTTACTTCCCAGGGTGGCTCTTAGCATCCAGTCAGCTAATATAGAAGAAGGTTATGCTATCACGGGTCAGACAAATGTAAGGTGCTATTACTTAGCTTCCTTTATGGTAGTTTGGATGTCAGAAGAGTCGCAGAAAGCCCTTCGTTAATACCATATTTAATAATCCTGCCAGGTAGCCGTTCTCAGAAAATACACTTATGGGAGAACGTTCCAGCTGGGGTGGTGTGGCCAGGGTGGCAGTCCGCATGACACTTGCATACGTGAATTGCATGACAGCAACAGAGACACCACTTAGAAGAGTAGTTTTCTGCTGGGGTTTGGCCACCGGCAAGGAAACCCTTGCCCTTGGGTAGATTTCATGGCGCTCAGATTCTGCCAAAAGATCCCAAGATCAATATGATCCCAGCATATTTCGGTCTGCCTCACAGGAGGTCTGAAGGGGATAAGGTGTGAAGACAGAAAGATTCCTCACCGCCCCCCCCCCACCCAGTCGCAAACGCCCCACTCCTGGCTGGTCACGCTGTTACAAGCTTGACCTGCATCCCACAGCAAGGACAAAGATTAGGTAAGGATATATGAAGATAACCCTAGTGGACTAAAAGACAGAGAACTTCCCCTTGGCTTCTCAAATGGTCTGAAAATGAAATCATCATAAGGAAGTGTCATTTCTGGAGTGGTCCGGAGGGCCAAGAAATGTTAGACGTTTCAGGATGTCTTTCCTGTTCCTAAAGAATGAGTCTCAACAGCTTGACTCTCACATTGTGCTCGATGGCCAAGTAGGAATTTTAGAAAAGGGCTCAAGGAAGCAAATGATTGATACTTTCACTTCTCCCCAACCCCCACACCCAGCAGTCTAGCTCGCTGTGGGAGCTGAGATTTGAAATCGGGTGCACACACTACCTTTGAACCCACTCAACATCTCCACCAAGAAAATGGCAGACCGTTGGTGGGTACTCAGGTTTAGCCACAAGAACACATGTACTTTCAAGTTGGTGGCGCCCACTACAATGGAAGATCAAAACACACAGTGAAATGACAGGTTCATTTTCATACTTCCTTGCCTAATTTTAGTCCTTGCTGTGGGAGGCAGGTTGGGTTTGCGACAGCATGAGCAGGTAGGAAGAAATGGGGTCTTTCCTTTTGTCAGCCGAGGCTGAGCTACACAGCCGGGCAACTCTTTGACTTTGTAAAATCCAAGGCTGGTGAGATGACAGTGTTCATATTAGCAAGGATTTTGTCCGAATGTCTTGTAGGTGTGTGTAGTTTAGGACGTGCAATTTTAAAACGCGCATCTGAAGTTCAAGGGCAAATTGGCTTTAAATGCTTTAAAAGAAAGAAGGAAACTCACTGTGCCCGGTTGCTGTCTTTAATCTTCAAAACAAGTCTCCGAGAGACGCTGTAATACTAGCCCCGTGTTACAGATGAGGAAATAAAAGCTCAGGGAGATTAAGTGTCTGGGCGTGAACGTGACTAAAGTCTGGGTGGGAAATCAGCTCCATCCGACTGTGAAGCCCCCGCCGATCGGTCAGAGAACTGAGGGCAGGAGGGCTCCGTAAGCATCCCCGGCGGCCCCCGCGGCTGCGTGTATGGGAAGCCAGGATGGAACATTGAACTCTGTTCTGGTGGAGTGGGAACCATGCACGCTTCGCCTCACCATGCGCGCTCCCTGTCTGTTGCAGTTCTGCAGTGGGCCCCGAAAGGATACTACACCCTAAGCAGCAACCTGGTAACCCTCGAAAACGGGAAACAGCTGGCCGTGAAAAGACAAGGACTCTATTACATCTACGCCCAAGTCACCTTCTGCTCCAATCGGGACACTTCGAGTCAAGCTCCGTTTGTAGCCAGCCTCTGCCTGAATTCCCCGAGCGGATCGGAGCGGGTCTTGCTCAGGGCTGCAAACACCCGCAGCTCCTCCAAGCCTTGTGGGCAGCAGTCCGTCCACTTGGGGGGCGTATTTGAATTACATCCCGGTGCTTCGGTGTTCGTCAACGTGACTGATCCAAGCCAAGTGAGCCACGGGACGGGCTTCACGTCTTTTGGCTTACTCAAACTCTGAGCGGTGGCCCCTCGCGGGCTGCCAAACAGCAAAGCAGTTAAGACCACCCCCTGTTGAACTGCCTATTTATAACCCTAGGATCCTCCTCGTGGAGAACTATTTATTATACACCCCCAGGCAGGTAGGGCTGCGGTAAGGGAACGCCGGGGCCGGTGAAACCCCAGCGGGCCCCGTTCCATAAGGTTTCTGTTCTGGAAGCAGCGGCCCCACGCATGCAGACACCCAGAGAGTCCCGTGAAAAGACGAGACCATTACGTACAGACTGAATTCTGAGTAAATGGCAGATCATGAGTCAAGTTTCATTTCGTTTCTTTGCATGCAGTGTCTTTCAGCGGATAATGCATTTGATTTCCCAGTGAAGATGCAGAAGGGCCACGGGGAGCCTCAGCTCGCGGTCAGTCCTGGTTGAGCCCGGGGCCCTGTGGCCCCGATGGAGGGGGCAGGCTCTAGAAAGTCTGGCGCAGCAGAGAACTGAAAAACCCTGCCCCCACCAGCCACCCCGACACTCAGGCTGTTGCTAATCCGTTATCTTATTTCAACCCTGTCCCGTCTCCACCACTGTAGGCGGGAGGAGGGAGCAGAGGCGGAGGCTCCAAGGCTGCCCACTCCTCCTGAAATGACTGTATTTAAAGGAAATCTCTCGTCTCTACCTGCAGTCTCCATTGTTTCCAGCGTGAACTTGGGATGATCTTGTTATTTATTTTTTGAATAATAAAGTGCCCTTAACGTTATTGTTGTCATCTAGCACCTAAAGCCCTGGGCCAGGTGGGGGCGGGGGGGGAATCTTTCGGAGGGATCTCACCTTTGTGATGGGTTCCCAAACGTGGTTCTCAAACTTCTTGGACCACAAAATAACTTGGCGACAGTCCCCTCCCTGGCAGTTTGCCATAGGCTTTGGTGGATGATGTGAAGTTTGTTCGGTGAAAATCAACGTGGGTCTTTCTTTCCAGCCTGTTCTGGAAAGGCTGCATGGGAGCAAAAGAGACTTTTTGTTCTTGATTCATTGCTGCTGAGCCAGGCAGGAGGGAGGGCTTCAGTGAGAAGCAGTTGCTTATCTTTTTCAGAGCTGTCTAGGTGGTTCTACCTCGGGCAAGAGGAAGTGGAGCGGGGACAAACTGGTTCCCCTGTTCTTCCACGGAAGCCAACAGAGCTATTCTTGGTCACCTCCAAGAAACCCAGAGTAATTTGTTCATCCTATCAGTAGAGTGTGTTGCTTAAAGCAAACCCCACAGGTTCAAGCAGAAAAATACCACTGTAGAAATAAGAAAGGGGAATGGGGGAGTCCGCTGTGGGAGGACCACACAACCCCTTCTGGGCTGAGTGACTTTGAACACGTTCTAGCATGAATTTCTTTTTTTTTTTAAGATTTTATTTATTTATTTGACAGAGAGAGAGAGAGAGATCACAAGTAGGCAGAGAGGCAGACAGAGAGAGGGGGAAGCAGGCTCCCCGCCGAGCAGAGAGCCCGATGTGGGGCTCGATCCCAGTCTAGCATGAATTTCTAACACAAGGCTGAAATCATGCTAGTTGAACTCACTTGGCTGTATACCATCTTCAGTGAGAGGATTTTGGTAAGAACAGAGCTGACACTGGGGGATTCAGGGACCCATGGATAGTTTGTCCTCAGTGCTGTCTTGTCCTCCGGAGCGAAGATTCTTCTACAGCTTTGTCCTCTGCACGGGATGCTTGAAGGAAGTGGGACAGCGGCCACGGCAGCCAGGAGACGTGGGTCATGAGATTCCCATAGGTATTGGGGCTCCCTTAGGAAATTCAGGACCCCAGGTCAGGCTGAGAAGAGGGTGTGGCCCCGCCCAGAGAGAAGGGACAATCCATGGGCTGTGACTTTCCCTCCCTCACGGTAGATGAGTGCCCACTTTGGGAGTACAGTCGGACTTGCCCAGCTCACCCTGGTGAGACACGGGGGTGGGGGTGGGCAAGAGGCATTACCCCTTTTAGGGTTCCTGCGAAGGGAATCCGTGTCGAGCCTGCACAAAACTTGTATAGTCTTCGTATACTCCCACGCTCTGATTTAAACATCGCCCTTGTACTTCGCCTTCCTTCTTCTTCGGACATCGTATCTCCCAATTATCTCTGCCTCTGGCAACCAAGTTGCTAACGATATCCGTTATCAGAATGAATGCTAGAGATACAAAAACTGCATTTTCCAGTCTGTTGCTTCTGCTCTCATGCTTCCTACTGCTCGCTAAAAGACACCTCCCATATCTCCCACCCAGAACTTTCCCTGCATGTCAGCTTCACCTAGCCAACTGCCTTCAACCTCTCAGATTACTTCCTCATGAGGTCACCTTGTGCTTTCCAAGAACTTCAGTCCCATCCTTCACCCTCTTCTCTTCCTGTTCTACATGCTCACAGCGTGCTGTCTCCCCAACCCTGCCTGCTCATGGGTTCAACAACCACCTTCCTGCCTTTAGTCCTGACCTGCCTCCTGGAGTTTGTCCCCTCAAACCTGAAACATTCAAATGGAACTCCTAATCTTTCCCCCCAACACAACGAGGTCCACTTTCAGTGTTTCCCATTCCAGAGAGTTCCAGCCTCTTCTGCCCTACTTCCCAAAACAGAAATCTGGCCTGACTTCTCGCTATCCTCACTCTTGTGTCCAATCCTACCAGCGTAAATACATCACCCCTATTTCTTAAATAGCCCTTAAATTAATCTACTTCTTTCTATCTCTGCTGCCACTCTCCTAGTCCACACTACCATCATCTTTCTTCTGGCAGCCTCCTAGCCCACCTGCCTCTACTCCTACTCCCTCTCATTCAACAAAATGAAATCTTAAATAAAAGTCTGATTTGGGGTGCCTGGGTGGCTCAGTTAGTTGGGAATCTGTCTTCGGCTGAGGTCATAATCCCGGGGTCCTAGGATCAAGGCTTGAGTCAGGCTTCTTGCTCAGTGGGGAGCCTGCTCCTCCCCCTCCCTATATCTCTCCCCCCCCCCCGCCGTACACACACACACACACACACACTCTCTCTCTCTCTCTCTCTCTCTCTCTCGCTTGTTCTCGCTCTATCTCAAATAAATAAAATCTTTTAAAAAAGTAAATACAAGTCTGATTTTTCCACTGCCCTGCTTCATCATCTCCTGCTAATACCTCTCTCAATGTCTTAAGTTCCAACCCTCAGTTCTGCTGAGCAAGGCTACACATGCTCTCCCGCCTTGGGCCCCAGGCGTGCTGTTTGCTTGGAACCCCCGTCCCCTTCCCCCACTGCACCCAGCACTGAGCATCACAGCACTCGCCAAAGTTGAGGTTTTTCCTACTATGCTGTGAGCTTTTAGAGCAAGAAGACCTTGTCCTGTTCACCTGTTTGTGGTGACTCCAGTGCCTGCCACAGAGCCTGGTGTAGAATTGGTCCTTGATTCATTGTATGAAGAAAAAAATGAATGAATAAATGCCTCTGCTTGCAACTCGTTTAAGTAGTTCATGAAATAACTCCGTGCGTTGGTTAAAGCACAAGTTTGCAATACTGGAAAAATATTTTATGTCAACAACGCGTATACGATAAAACTGTACTCAAGGAATAGAGAATGACTGCAAATTATACTGTAGATAAGAATACATGAGTTCTTTTCCTGGGGCACCTGGCTGGCTTGGTCAGTGGAGCGTGTGACGCTTGAGCTCGGGGTCATGAGTTCGAGTCCTATGATGGGTGTGGAAGTAACTTAAAAATAAAATCTTTTAAAAAATAATCTATTTTCATTATATGGTTCATGATAGTTTGTAAAACAGTACATGAAGTTGGTCCAAACTTCACTTGAACTTAAAGTTGTTCTAGTAAGTAATGGGGACTTGAGTACTAATAATATTTTGATCGTAAGTTATCTAATTTCATCCCATTTTTATAGACATATTACTTTTACCTTCCATCTAAGGGTTGCAGGGAGGGGATGCTTGAAATGACCAATGATTTTTATTTCCAGACAGAGAAAATGAATGAAGTATGAAATATTACCGTCACTGTTACTTGGTAGGAAGCAAATGTCTAAAAAAGGCAAAGTTGTCAGTATGGGGCACCCCAGTTAAAGGAAAACAGCATACAGACACCCCCCCGCAGGCTCCAGGAGGGAACCTATCTGGCACTGAATTTGACTATTTCCACGCGCCTGATACCACCGTGTTGCAGGCTACACTGTTGTCTGAAGTAACAGACGCAGAAACCCGGGACTTGAAGCTAAGTAGAATTTATTTTTCTCTGTGAAACACATCTCCAGTTAAAAAAACAAAACCAGGGGCACCTGGGTGGCTCAGTCAATTAAGCATCTGACTCTTGATCTCAGCTCGGGTCTTAATCTCAGGGTCATGAGTTCAGGCCCCATACTGGGCTCCATGCCAGACACAGAGCTGACTTTTTAGATAGATAAATAGACAGACAGACAGATAAAATGTTTTTAAAAAAAATCCCCAGAAAAGGGAGCCTGGGTGGCTCAGGTCATGATCCCAGGGTCCTCCAATAGAGCCCCACATGGGGCTCCCTGCCCTGGGGGAAGCCTGCTTCTCCCTCTCCTTCTGCCTGTCTCTCTGTCAAATAAATACATAAAATCTTTAAAAATAAATAAAACCCCCAGAAGTAGTCATTGTAGTGTAGTGGTCGCATCTGGAGTCAGACAGACACCTTCCTGACCTAGGCTCAGCCATTTTACCAACTTTAAAACCATGGCAAATCATTTCTCCTCCTCTGAGCCTTAGTGTCCTCGTCTGGAAAGCAGGGATGATAAGAATACCTGTTTGGCAAGGTTTGTGAGGGTTTAACGAGATCGTTCACAGGAAGTCCGCAGCAGCGCCTGCTCTCTGGAACAGGAAGCCATCTTAAAATGGTTGGGACACCTGAGACCGAGGAAAACAGGACTTGCCCATTGTAGTAGACCAAAGACCACACCCAATTTGAAGAAAAGTAAAAGAAAAAAAAAAGCCAGGGTAAGATCACATACCTAACATTACAGTAGATTTGTGTGGAGCAAAGACTCTTTCTTACAGTTTCATTGTCAAAAACATTGAACCATTAAAGGCTTGGGGTTGCCCGGTATTTTGGTTGTCTTGAGCAGTTCCACATTTAGCATATTTAGGAAGGTTTCTTTCTTCTTCTTCTTCTCCTT